CACCTCTGGCACCTCTGTGACCTCAGGGCCTGCTGTGAGCTCAGCCTGCTGTGACCCCAGAGCCCTGCTGTGACCTCAAGCCATGCCCCGCTGACCCCCAAGCCGTGCCCTACTGACCCCCAAGCCCTGCCCCAGTGACCCCCCCAGCCCTTCCCTGCTGACACCAAGCCCTGCCCTGTTGACCCCAGGCCATCCCTGCTGATCCCCCAGGCCCTCCCTGCTGACCCCAAGCCCTGCCCTGCTGACCCCCAAGCCCTGCCCTGCTGACCCCAGCCCCTCCCTGCTGACCCCACAGGCTGGGACTTTGTTTTGTGGGATGCATTCCTGAGAAATGGAAATATTTCTCTTAAGGTCCTCCAAGAAGGAAGAAGAAACCTATAGGAGCTCGTAAGTCCCTGGAGGATTCCAAATATCTGGAACAAAAACGGAGTGGTGTGGACAGCCAGAGTGGTGGGTGCATTTCCCTCAGCCTTCCCCTGGGACTCAGCAGCCAGGGGCTTTGGCTGCACATCTGGACACGCCGTGCCCGGCACAGCGGGAAGGCATCCATGCACCACAGGCCATGCACTCCCTAAGATCCCCTGCAGTTTCCCAGTCCCTGAGCACATCTGGAGGGGCTGCTCTTTGCAGGAGGGAGGACCCTGGAGCAGCTCCAAAATCCTGGCCATTTTCCTTGTCCTTATCCATGTCTTTGACAAGTGTGACCCCCAAGCCCTGCCCGCTGACCCCCCAGCCCTGCCCCAATGACCCCGTCCCCGCTGACCCCTGCCCTGGCTCCAGGACCCCCCGAAGGTGTACCCGCCGGTGCCCGCTGAGAAGAGGAAGCCCATCCGGGTGCTCTCGCTCTTCGACGGCATCGCCACAGGTGGGTGGGGGTCCCTGGCCCTTGCAGGGCCCCCCTGGGCCGTGTGTGGGGTTGGAGTGCTGGGTGACGGGAGCTGGTGGTCTCGGGGCACAGGTGTGGACAGGTCTGTGGGTGTTCCTGTGGGCAGCCCCCGCTGTCTGCTGCACCCCAGGGGTGTCACAGCAGAGGGGAGCAGGACGGGGCCAGCCCTGGGGGTGGGACAGGGCTGGGGGCCCGTTGTGCCTGCGTGGCCCACTCCCCACGGCTCCCCACAGGCTTGCTGGTGCTGAAGGACCTGGGCATCCAGGTGGACAGGTACATCGCCTCCGAGGTGTGCGAGGACTCCATCACCGTGGGCATGGTGAGGCACCAGGGCAAGATCATGTACGTCGGGGACGTCCGCAACGTCACCCAGAAACACGTACGTGCCACCCTGCCCCTGGCCCCTCCCTGCCAGCACCGGGACCCTCCACAGCCCCAGGGGCAGCCCTCGGGCCCAGGGGGGCAGTGCCAGGGGGTCCTGAGTGGGACTCCATGCTCCTGGTGGGAGCTCAGCCACCGTCGTGTCCCTGTGCCCGGGCTGTGGCAGTGCCTGGCTCACCCGGGCTCTCCTTTCCCCCTTGCAGATACAGGAGTGGGGCCCCTTTGATCTGGTCATCGGGGGCAGCCCCTGCAACGACCTGTCCATCGTCAACCCGGCCAGGAAGGGTCTCTACGGTAGGAGAGGGCTGGGGCTCCCCAGGGGTGGGGCTGGCCCCCCAGGGCTGACAGAGACCCCCAGCCCTTAGCCCAGCCCCTCCTGTCTCCTCCCAGAGGGCACAGGGCGCCTCTTTTTCGAGTTCTACCGCCTGCTGCACGAAGCCCGGCCCAAGGAGGGCGACGACCGGCCCTTCTTCTGGCTCTTTGAGAACGTGGTGGCCATGGGCGTGAGCGACAAGAGGGACATCTCGCGCTTCCTGGAGGTCAGTGCCCGCCTGGGCTCAGCCCCTCCAGCCCCGGGACCCCCAGAGCCAGGGGCTGCCCAGCCCCACTGATCTAACCCCAGTGACCCTCGGCTCTGTCCTCCCTCAGTCCAATCCCGTCATGATCGATGCCAAAGAAGTGTCTGCAGCACACCGGGCACGGTACTTCTGGGGGAACCTGCCCGGCATGAACAGGTGGGTGAGAGCAGCCCAAAGCTGAGCCCCTGGCTGGCTCGGGAGGGTGGGCTGCACTCCTGGGTCCTCCCTCAGCCTGGGGGTTCCCTGACCCTGGTCAGGGCTGGGTAAGAGCCAGTGTGATGGCACACCCTAGAAACCTATGGTGGTTCCCCTGTGGGGGTGGCAGGTCCTGTGCCAGCTCTCTTGTGCTGGAGGGGTGGCACTAAGCTGTCCTTTGTGTCCCTCTTGGATGGTGGCTGTTGTGGCCCACAGCTAGAGGGCACAGATGGGCTCCCACAGGAATTGCTTCCTGCCCATTACCTGCCACACAGCCCCAAAACAGCTGTGGCCACCTTGTGACCCCCACAAACCCCAGCTGGAGACCTGCCCTGTGCCCACGGTGGGGGGACATTATGGGGACACAGTCCTGCCACCCCCTGCCCACTGTGTCTCCCCCCCAGGCCACTCGCGTCCACCGTCAATGATAAGCTGGAGCTGCAGGAGTGCCTGGAGCACGGCAGGATAGCGAAGGTCAGCCTGGGCTGGGCCTGGGGGGCCTGAGGGGGCAGGAGGGGGGCTCCAGTGCTGTCAGCAGTGCCTCCCAGTGGGAGTCACCCACCCGCTGCCCCGGGGGCTCCATCCCAGCCCAGCCTGACCAGCCCGTGCCTCTTGCAGTTCAGCAAAGTGCGAACCATCACCACTCGCTCCAACTCCATCAAGCAGGGCAAGGACCAGCACTTCCCCGTGTTCATGAACGAGAAGGAGGACATCCTGTGGTGCACGGAGATGGAGAGGTAGTGCGGCGGGGCCGGGGCGGCGCTGGCTCCCGCCCGCGCCGCAGCCCCCTGACCCCTCCCGTGTCCCGCAGGGTCTTCGGCTTCCCCGTGCACTACACGGACGTGTCCAACATGAGCCGCCTGGCCCGGCAGAGACTGCTCGGCAGGTCCTGGAGCGTGCCGGTCATCCGCCACCTCTTCGCGCCCCTGAAGGAATACTTTGCCTGCGTTTAGAGATGGGCAGGAACTGGTCACACGGAGCGAGTCGGAATCAAACCCATCCACGCCAAGAGAAGAGAACACACGGAATGAGAGAAGAGTCAGCACCCAGAAGAGAGACGGGATTTCGCAGCCCGACGGGAACCCAGCACACGTCTCCCCGAGCCAAAGGGGTCGGTGTCCTCTCCGGAATTTCCCAGGATCAGCTTTAGCTATTTAAAAGCAAACAAAAACCACAAGAAGCAAACGAAAACGAAGACGGCGAAAGCAAAGAAACAACGACGAAACAGAAGAAAAAAAAAAAGAAAAAGAAGAGAAACCAAAACCTTTTTTTTTTGGGTAACCTTTTAATTTTCCGCTCTTTTCTGGCTGGGTTTTCCTGTCGGTTTGGTTTCCACTTCTCGGAGCAGCGGGCGAGACGCCGTCGCCAGCGCCGCTCTCGGAGAGGGGGAAACGGCAGCGGGGAAGCCCAGTGGGGAGGGAGGCGGAGGCAAAGGAGACCCGCTCTGCTCCGAGACCCGCTCCGAGACCGCTCCGCTCCGTCCGCGCCAGCGCCCGGCCGGCCCGGCCCCGGCCCCGGCGGCTGAGCCTCGCTCTGTTCCACCAGCACCGCTCTCCGGTGACATGGAGCCAACCCGGCAGGGAGGCCGGGAACACACACACCACACACACACCTTTTCTACAGTATTTTGGGTGCCTACCACACGGAAACCTTGAAGAGAGCAGATCCTAGAAGCCGCTGTTACCTCTTGTTTACAGTTTATATATATATGATAGATATGAGATATAGATATATATATATATAAAAGGTACTGTTACTACTGTACAACCTGACTTCATAATGGTGCTTTACACAGCGGGGTGAGTCGAGACATCAGCTTCCACGTTGCCTTACGTGCCGGGCCTTTCCGAGCGAGCGGCAGGGCCGGGGCGGCCGGGCGGAAGCGTCTCCATCCCGAGTCATGCAATAACCTTTTTCTGTCCCGAACGGAAGCGCCTCGGCGGTGCCCCCCTGCCCCGCCGGCGCCACCCCACAGCGTACTGGTGCTCTTCTGCGTACGTGGTGTCCGGCAGGGCCCGCGCCGGCTGTCCCCCGGTGCCCCGGCTGCCCGCCGGGGCGGCGCGGGGCACGGCGCCGCGCGTCCCCCGTGTGCCCTCGGCGGGGTGGCACGGGGCACCGTGGCGGCGGTGTCGGTCGGCGGAGCGCGGGCAGGTGCTGGCGGTGCGGTGGATGGTGCTACTGCTCCGGGCCCCGGGCGGCCGCGGCGCCCGCGGAGCAGGGACTGGTGCTAGGGCGCGGGGAGGCTCCCGGGCCCGCCGCTGTCTCTTCTCTAACTGTGAAAGGCGCGGGCCCCGGCGCCGCGCTCGCTGCGGGGTGCTGGCTAATGGCAGCGAGCCGCGGCCCGCGCGCCCCGAGGTGCTGGGACCGACGGCGGCGGGGCCCCCGCCTCCCCTCCCTCCTGGTGCTACTGGGGGCTCGGGGGCCCCTCTGGGTGCGGGGGGCACGGGGAGCTGAGCTGGCGCGGGCGGCCGCGGTGGGGGCACCGCGGGGCCTGGCTTCGCCGGGGAGCGAAGGTGGCCAGGCAGGGGGCACTGGCCCCGGGCTGCCAGGGCCGGATGGCACGGGATGGCACAGGACCGCTGCAGCGGGCACTGCTCCTGCCTGCCTGCTGCTGTCTGAGCCCTCATGGCCCCACGAGCCTGTCTGTGGGGCTGGCATGGCCCCGGCCGTCCTGTGTGCGGCACGGCGGGCACTGCGGGTCCTGCACGGCCCTGCAGCACTGCTGCAGGTCCTGCATGGCTCCGTGCCCCCGGCTGCGGGTCCTGCATGGATCCACGGCGCTGCCTGTGGGTCCTGCAGAGTCCCACAGACCTGGCTGCAAGCGCTGCATGGCCCTGCAGTGCTGAATGCGGGGCCTGCAGTGCTGAATGCAGGGCCTGCAGCGCTGATTGCAGACCCTGCAGCGCTGATTGCAGGCCCTGCAATGCTGAATGCAGACCCTGCAGTGCTGATTGCAGGCCCTGCAGTGCTGATTGCAGACCCTGCAGTGCTGAATGCAGGGCCTGCAGCGCTGAATGCAGGGCCTGCAATGCCCTGTGGCGCTGGGTGCTGATCCTGCATGCCCTTGAGGTGCTGGGTGCTGGTCCTGCAGGGCCCTGCAGCGTTGCTGGCAGGCCCTGCACGGCTCCGTGGCGCTGGGTGCTGACCCCGCGTGGCCCTGCAGCTCCGGGCGCCGGCGCTGCCCCGACCCTGCGGCACCGCCGGCGGGCTCTGCACGGCCATGCGCTGGGTCTGGGGGTCCCGGGGGACCCCCGGCTCAGCCCAGCCCTGCAGCCCTTGCTGGGACCCCGCTGCACCTTCGGGGCCGGGTCCCAGCGGGTGCTGCGGCGCGGGGCCCGGCGCGGCGCGGCGGTGGCACGGCCCAGCCGGTGCCGGTGCCGGTGCCCGTGGAAGCAGGTTCCTGCTGGGAACAGGTGCCGGCGGCGGTGGGGACCGTGGGGATGCCTGGGGCAAGAGTTCAGTTTTTAACGTACCCGACTCACGTCTTTTTTTAAAAAAAACCAACCAGACAAATTCTGTTGCACAGCCCTAGATGAAAACTCAAAAACAACACAGCAAGGCCTGAATTCCTTAAGATCCGCCGAGGGAGTGGGGACAAACACGGTGCTAAAACATTTTATTAAAAATATATATTGTTAAATTAAGTCTGCTGTCTGGACAATGACTGTTTTGTTTCTCGTAGTGGAGTTTCAAAGAGCACTATTATTTTACTCTTATATATTATTATTAAAAAAAAAAAACAAAAAAGAAAAAGGCATTTTAACTTTGTACTTGAAAACTAAATGAGAGATTTCATGTGTTTTAGCCTAGACATTGAAATAGCTGACGCTTAACTATTTGTGGGAATCATGTACTCATCATCCCGAGGAATACGCTGTAGAGCTGGTACCCTCCTTCCTCCCTTTGATTTGGCTCCGCCGCCACATTCCCGGCGCCGCCGCGGCCGCCCCGGCTGCTCTCCCTGCCCTCCCCTCCCAGCCCCGACCCCCGGTTTATTTTCTACTTCTCTCTCGGTTCGTTGCCCCTGTTTTTTTGTTGGTTTGTTTTTTTAGGGTCGCTTCTCTATTTATTGCCGCTGAACTGTGCATTTCACGGCCGGAGGTGCCGCGGGCGCCCGGCGCTGTTGTATCTGTGTGAGTATTGCTCGTGACATAGCTGTTCTGAACTAATAAAGGTCAATGCGTGCAGCAGATGTAGAAAGTCTGTCCGTCCCGCTTCCATCCCATCCTCCTTTTTCTTTTTCTTTGGTGCCCAGAAGAGTATAATACAGACGAGCTCCTTTCTAATGTACTTGTGCTGGAGAACACTTGAATAAATGTCCTGTTTTGTGCAAAAAAAAAAAAAGAGAAAAAAAGAGGAAAAAAAAAAAGAGAGAAAAAAAATCCCCCTGTGTGGCTGTGTGGTCTGTCTGTGGTGGGGTGGGTCCTGCTGGGTGGGTGGGGAGATCCAGGTGCTGAAGGGGTCCTGGTGCCTGTGGGGTCTGGGGGCAGTGGGGTCCCAGTGCAGGTGCTGAAATCCAGGAGTCACAGGGTGTGGGGGGTCCCAGCAGCAGTGGTTGTGGGGCCCTGGAGAGGCAGGAGGTGGGATTGGGGTGATTGAGGGGTCCTGGAGAGGCAGGAGGTGGGATCGGGGTGATTGGAGTCCTGGAGGGCACTGGTGGGGCCCTGGCAGGAGGTGGGACTGGGGTGATGAGGAGCCCTGGGGTCCCTGTGGCTGGGTGGGGGTCCCAGTGCAGTGGGGTCCCAGCCCTGAGGTGCTTGTGTTCCCAGTGGGCTCCCAGGGGTCCCAGTCCCAGTGTGGGGCTCTGGGTTGAGCCCACCTCAGTCAGGCACTGTGGCCTTGCCCTGGGGCAGGGGGTGCAGAGCCCCCAGCAGAGTGGGAACCCCCATTCTGCCACATGAGCTGTGGGTCAGGAAACCCCCATGCAGCTCCTGCCTCAGTTTCCCCTCCAGCTGAGACTCCTGGGGTCCCCCCGTGCCAGCCCCAGGGTGCTGGGGCTGGGAGCAGGGTCCAGGTGGGCCAGCTGGGGTGATTGAGGGGTCCTGGAGAGGCAGGAGGTGGGATTGGGGTGATTGTGGGGCCCTGGAGAGGCAGGAGGTGGGATTGGGGTCCTGGAGAGGCAGGAGGTGGGATTGGGGTGATTGTGGGGTCCTGGAGAGGCAGGAGGTGGGATTGGGGTCCTGGAGAGGCAGGAGGTGGGATTGGGGTCCTGGAGAGGCAGGAGGTGGGATTGGGGTGATTGAGGGGTCCTGGAGAGGCAGGAGGTGGGATCGGGGTGATTGGAGTCCTGGAGGGCACTGGTGGGGCCCTGGCAGGAGGTGGGACTGGGGTGATGAGGAGCCCTGGGGTCCCTGTGGCTGGGTGGGGGTCCCAGTGCAGTGGGGTCCCAGCCCTGAGGGGCTTGTGTTCCCAGTGGGCTCCCAGGGGTCCCAGTCCCAGTGTGGGGCTCTGGGTTGAGCCCACCTCAGTCAGGCACTGTGGCCTTGCCCTGGGGCAGGGGGTGCAGAGCCCCCAGCAGAGTGGGAACCCCCATTCTGCCACGTGAGCTGTGGGTCTGGAAACTGCCCCGTGCAGCTCCTGCCTCAGTTTCCCCTCCAGCTGAGACTCCTGGGGTCCCCCCGTGCCAGCCCCAGGGTGCTGGGGCTGGGAGCAGGGTCCAGGTGAGGTGTGACAGGTGTGACAGGTGTGACAGGTGTGACAGCCTGTGCTGTGCCAGGGATGGTGGCACAGGGCACTGCCAGGCTCTGCAGGGCTCTGGAGCCTCACAAAAAGGCCCAGTGCTGGTGCTGGGCTGGGGCACGCATGGATCCAGGAGCAGATGTGGGAAATGGATTTATAGCAAATGTTCAGAATTTGGTAGAAGGTTCAGATAGTGCGTATTTGTAAACTTCAGGATAAGAAATGTTGGCTTAGGAATGTTATGGAATAAGGCAGACGTTGCTGAGAGAGAAATTGAACTAGAAATAATTTATTAATTACTCGAAATAATAATTTGAAAGGATGGTCTTGTAAATAGGATTAGAAACTTTAGAGAAATAGAACCATGAAAGATGTATCGTGGTAGGACCCACGCGGGGCAATTTTAGATTATTAATTTTAGGATATTTACAGTATGGTGTGGCTGGGGCTGATAGGCCAAGGAGCAGTGAAATTAGGAAATTGCTGCTGCACTCTCGGGGCCGCAGAGGGCAGGAGCTCATGGCAGGAGGGCTCCAGGCCTGGGGGAGGCACACGCTGGTTTAAGGCGTGTGCACAGCATCCCCGTGGCAGTGCCCGGGCAGCTGTGCCACCAGCGGCCACCCAGGCTCCCGAGGGGCCCTTGGGGACACCTGAGCTGGGGCTGCACACACTGCTGCTGCCAGGGGGGAGGAACATAAATCCAATAACGCCGTACCTGGGTGGGCTGAGAAAGCCTGGGAGGAGGGATGTGGCACTGGGCACCCAGAGTGCAGAACCCACCAGCCACGAGGGCAGCGGGCACAAAGCCCAGCATGAGGAAGAACCTGATAAAAGCAGCTGGGGAACTGCTGAGGCAGCTCCGGCAGGGGTGGATTGCCACCCTGACCCAGAGACCCGAAAAGATCCAAAAGAGCAGCACTGAGCATGGACTAATTAGCATAAGAAGCAGAGGACAGGTTTAACCAAGGAAGGTAGGCCACTAATTAATAAGAGAATTGTGTACCTCGCATTTATTGTTAAGTGAAATCCATGCTGTTGACTTTGGCCTTGGGTCTCGTTTGCAGATTAATTCAGGCAGAGGCTTCTCTCACTAATTGGATCTTAGCAGAGCCAAACATCAGCAGCACGTGGGGCTGCAGAGAGCCCAGAGGAGCTGGGAGGGCTGGGGGGCTCACCTGGAGAGGAGAAGGATCCGATCTGTGCCTGTGGTCACCAAACCTGTGGAGACCTGTCCCCGTGCCCAAGGGCAGCCCAGCTGGAGGAGGCACCACCAGGGACATGGCAGGGACAAATGCCACCCAGCAGGGACAAATGCCACCCGCTGCCCCGGGGAGGGAGGAGCCCCGGGCAGGGACAGGGGCTGGGGCAGCGCTGGAAGGAGCGGGGGGTCCTGGCAGAGACAGAAGGGACATTTGGCCCCCGTGCCCCTGACACCGGGGGGACAGCCCAGCCCTGGGACACCAAAGGGCTCTGGGGGTGCCCAGGACAGGAGATGGCAGTGCCCGGGGAGAGGGGGCACAGCTGGGATGGGATTGTGGGATAACGGGGTAAGGGGATGGGATGGGATGGGATGGGATGGGATGGGATGGGATGGGCAAGAGCAAGATATTTGTACAAGGGAAGAGTAGTCACCGGGGTGTCCCGGCGGTGCCACAGAGGGTCCCGAGGGTGTCCCGGGGGGTCCCGGGGGTGTCCCGAGGGTGTTCCAGGGATGTCACGGGGGTGTCCCGGGGGTGTCACCGGGTGTCCCAGCGGTGTCACAGAGGGTCCCGAGGGTGTCCCGGGGTGTCCCGGGGGTCCGGGGTCACCGGGGGTCTCGGCGCGCGCTCCGTCACCACGGCAACAGCGCGGGCAGGTGGCGGGGGGCGTGGCCCCGTGCCTTGGCCCCGCCCCCTCCGCCTGTCAGTCAGGGGGCGCGCAGCCCACCCTGCTGGGGGCTCGGCCCCGCCCCCGGGCGCCAGGCCGGGCGGTGATTGGTGCAGGCGCGGCGAGGCCCCGCCCCCGCGGCGCAGGTTCGGGTGAGAGGCGATCGCGGCCGGAGCGGCACCGGGAGCGGCACCGGAGCGGGAGGTACCGGGGGGCACCGGGGGCACCGGGGGGCACCGGCGGGGCCGGGCCGGGCCGGGCGGGGCACAGCGGAACCGGGCCGGGCTGAACCGGGCCGGGCTGGGTTGGGGGGAGCCGGGCTGGGCTGGGTGGAGCCGAGCCGGGCCGGGCCGTGCCGTGCTTGGCTTTTCCTTTCCCGCTCCTGCGGACCTGGCTCGTTATCGCGACTGGACAATCGCGACAGGTGCGTGTGTCCCGACGGGCGGGGACGGAGCGCAGCGCCCCGCCATCCCCGCCCGGGGCGCCTCGGGGGCTGTCGCCGGGCGGAAAAGCCGCGCGCGGCCGCCGCCCACCCATGGCGACACACCTGTCGCGACAGGCGATGGATGGTGTCGCGACAGCGCCGGGGGTTCGCCTCGGCGGGTGCAAGGCCGGGCAGGCTGCTCCTCCTCGGGCGGCCCCGGCTCCCTCGTGGGCTCCCTGTCGCGATGGGCGGCGGAGCAGCAGGTGCGCGGGGCGCGGGGAGCGACCCCGGGGCGGCGGGCGGCGGCGGGGGTCCCGCCGGGCCCGGCTCATTGTTCCGCCGGGTCAAGGTGCCCGCGGGGACAAGGACCGCCCGCAGCATCCCGGGTTGCCGGTACGGCGCTGCCCGAGCATCCTCCCCCGCCGGTCCTCCCCGGGGCGGTGGCTCGGTGACACCGCAGCGGGACAGCGGGACCCCGGCAGCGGGACAGCGACCCCAGCCCGGCCGGAGCGGAGCGGGGCCGGGGGCCGCGCTGGGGACCCCCCCGCCGGGCACGGCTCGGGCGGAGCGCGGTGCCCACCCAGCCGCCGCCTCTGGCCGGGGACCAGCGGCGCTCGCGGGTCGGTGCCACCGCAGTGGCGGTCCTCGAGGCCAGCCCGGCGAAGGGGAGCCCCGCCGCCCGCCGAGCCGGGCTGGGCGGGGGTCCCCGGGGCGCTGCGGAGCCCCCCCGGCGCTGACGCTGCGTTTCTGCCCTGCTCGGAGCCCGTGTCTGGCAGGAGCCTCGGCCGGCTGAGGCTGGCGGTGCCACCGCGCTGCAGCGGCCGGCTGGAACGCGGGCGAGGCCAGCACGGGGCTGGTGCCATGCTGGCACTGCGGCCCGGCCCGGGGGACAGAGGGACAGAGGGACAGAGCCCCCGGGGATGCTCAGTCTGAGCTGGGGTCCCTGGTGTGAGCCGGGGGCACTGGGTGTGATGTGGGGCAGCGAGGGTGAAATGGGAGCACTGGTGTGCCAGACTGGCCACTGTGGGCATCCAGTGCTGGGCCTGGTGGCGTGGGGACGGCAGGGCAGTGCCAGGGCTGGCTGCTGCTGGGGTAGGTGCCTGGAGGGGTGGCAGCAGCACGGGTGGCTCCACGGCGGCCACAGGCAGCGTGTGCAGCTGCCAGCTCTTCTCTGTGCCCGGTGGCCAGCCCACGCTTGTGCCCGGCCATGCCCTGTCCCCCTGCCAGCCCCACAGCCCGGTGCCAGGGCTGTGCCGGTGCCCGGCGCGGCAGCGCTGGCAGCCGCGTGCTCCGTGCTCCAGATCCGTCAGCACAGCCCGCTTTCATCTCGGGCTGCGACGTGCCGCCGCCTCCCCACGCCCCCTCTGCCCCGTGCCACCCCTCCCGCAGCCCCTCCCGCAGCCCCTGCCCGGCCCAGCCCCGCTCTGGGGTCCCGGGGGTCGCAGGGTGGCACCGTGGGCGCCGGCTCGTCCCCTCTGCTGTCACCCCACCGAGGACAGTCTCTGCCCCGGTGTCATGTCCCTGATGTGGGTGTGGGGGCTCAGAGGGTCCTTGGCTGGGGTGTCCCCTTGTTGCTGTCACCCCCCTCACCCCCCACAGTGCAGCTCCGGGCCCAGGTGTCCCCTGGCACAGCTGTCCCCCTTGTCCTCCCCTGCCATGAGCAGCAGCTTCCCCGTGTGCCCGAGGCAGAGCCGGGGGCCCCGCAGCGCTGGGTGCCAGTGCCCAGCGTGCCACGGCGGCCTGGCACGCTGCACGAGGTCACTGCCACCCCGCCCGGGTCCCCGGGGGGCTCCGAGCCGTGTCACAGCTGTGCATGCCGGTGACATTCCCGGGGGGGGCCGCCTGCCAGACCCCAGCAGCTGCTCCTGCTCTGTGCCTCCTCTGTGCCGAGGTGAGGGCGCCGGGGCAAGGCGCCAGCTGGCACCGGGCTCACCCAGGGGCAGCAGCCGGCCCACGGAGGGCTCCTGACCCCCCCAGCACGGAGGTGGTCCCTGGGAACCCCCTTGTCCCCAGCCCTGCAGCTGCGGTGGCCGTGGCCCGGGGATGCCAGCAAAGCCTGGCCCAGCCTCACCCACCAGGGCTGTGCCAGCCTCAGGAGCCATTCGCTGCCCAGCAGGAGCTGGGGAGCCCTGGCACAGCTCAGGACGGTCCCTTCAGAGCCCTGTCCCGGTTCCTGAGGCCACCCCGGGGCTGTGGCAGCACCAGCCACCCCCTGGCACGAGGTCCCTGCCCCAGCAGCAGCCTTTGCCCGTGCCAGTGTCGTGTCAGCTGTGCCAGAGTGCCCCACGCTGCCCGTGTGGCTGCCTGGGGCTCTCTCTGGTGGAGGGGTCCCTGGTGGTCCCTGCAGCGGGCACAGAGAGGCAGGGGTCTCTTTGTGGGTCTCTGCAGCGAGGTCTGTGCTCTGGGGGCTCTGGTGGGGTCCCAGCCCACCTCGTGCCCCCCGGGTGGGCACAGCTGGCACGTGCTGTCGCTGCTCTGACGGGTCGATGGTGTTTGACCTTCACCAAAGGATTTATTGATCGTGTCTGGGGCTGCCCCTCGCGGCGGGGGCTCAGGCAGTGCGGGGGTCTCACAGAGCTGGCACCTCTCGGGGCAGTGGGCAGAGCCCCCAGTGAGCGATGCCAGCCCTGGTGTGTCCGTGCCAGTCCTGGTCGCTCCCAGGCACCGGGTGGGCAGCCTGCCCTGGGCGTGGGGACACCCAGCCGTGTCCCCGTGGCACGCGTGGCGCTGGCAGCGCAGGGTGGCAGGGCTGGGCTCTGGCTGCCCTGCCCAGGGTCTGCAGGGGGTGGCACTGGCAGGGTGCAGCCCGGAGTCCCTGGAGCGGGCTCGGGGCAGGGAGGCAGCCCCAGCCCCGTGCCAGCCCCACCTCTCAGGGATTTCCCGGGATAGAGGATTTATTGATCGTGTCTGGGGATGCCCCTCGTGGCGGGGGCTCAGGCAGTGCGGGGGTCTCTGCCAGAGCTGGCACCTCTCGGGGCAGTGGGCAGAGCCCCCAGTGAGCGATGCCAGCCCTGGTGTGTCCGTGCCAGTCCTGGTCGCTCCCAGGCACCGGGTGGGCAGCCTGCCCTGGGCGTGGGGACACCCAGCCGTGTCCCCGTGGCACGCGTGGCGCTGGCAGCGCAGGGTGGCAGGGCTGGGCTCTGGCTGCCCTGCCCAGGGTCTGCAGGGGCTGGCACTGGCAGGGTGCAGCCCGGAGTCCCTGGAGCGGGCTCGGGGCAGGGAGGCAGCCCCAGCCCCGTGCCAGCCCCACCTCTCAGGGATTTCCCGGGATAACCCACGGCCCTGGCCCGTGCGGGACGCGCAGCCCTGCCAGGGTGGGCAGCACGGAGACCCCCGCCCGGGGGGGCTCACGGGTGACCCCGCTGTGCCCGCAGCACCATGATGGCCAACGCGGCCACCATGCGGATCCTCATCAAGGGGGGCAAGGTGGTCAACGACGACTGCACCCTGGAGGCCGACGTCTACATCGAGAACGGCATCATCCAGCAAGTGGGGCGCGAGCTGATGATCCCCGGCGGCGCCAAGGTCATCGACGCCACCGGCAAGCTCGTCATCCCGGGCGGCATCGACACCAGCACCCACTTCCACCAGACCTTCATGAACGCCACCTGCGTCGATGACTTCTACCACGGCACCAAGGTACCCCGAGCCGTGCCCGGGGCTCCCCGCGGGCACGGGCTGCTGCAGGCAGCTCTCGGGCACCCAGCAGCACCAGCTCCACTGTGGCACTATGGCACTGCCTGTCCCCGTGTCCCCATCCATCCCACGGCCTCGCTGTGACAGCCCTCCTCCTACAGGCCGTGGCACCCTGTGCCAGCTGGGGCACCTCCCTGGGCTGGTGGCACTGTGTACCGAGTGTTGCTGCCCGCGCCAGCCCAGGATTGTCCCTGCAGCTTGTCCCGCTGTCCCCAGCGCCCGCACAGAGCAGCCATTGTGCCAGGCCAGCGCTGGCCGTGCCTGTCCCCACGGTGTCCCCACGGTGTCCCCAGGGTGTCCCCAGGGTGTCGCTGGGCAGGGGGCTCGGCGGTGAGCTGGAGGGAAGGGGCCTGTGCGGTGCCCACGGGTGCCACACGCCAGGCCAGCTCCCTGTCACTGTCACCCGCCTCGTGGCAGCTCCCGAGAGGCCGATGGCAAAGGAGCTTTGGGGATTAGCGGGGCAGGGTGAGCCGGGGACAGCGGCGCTGCCACAGCGCCTGCACCGCCGCCCACGCTGCCGGGCAGGGGGGCTCCCTGCAGCCCCCGCCCCCTCGGGGCTCCGTGCCGGGGGCTGCTGGCTCCCTCAGCACCCCAAATCCGCTCCCTCAGCACCCCACATCCAGCGCTGGGGCCGGGGGGTGGCAGGATGGGGCTCTCCAGATGTGCCGTGCGCCCAGGTGTGCTGCTGCAGGGGGCAGCCATCGGTGGGGCGGGGGGATGCGGGGGTCCCTGCCCGCACCCAGGAGCCCCGCGTGGCTGTGGGCAGTGCCCGAGCGTGGCTGCCCCAGCCCGGGAGCAGCGGGGGGCTCACCTGGCACAGGGCAGGGCAGGGGCCGTGCCAGGGATGGACCCTGACCCCCCCCCCGCGGGCCCTGCGCCCCCTGCCCAGGCAGCGCTGGTGGGGGGCACGACGATGATCATCGGGCACGTCCTGCCCGACAAGGAGACGTCGCTGCTGGACGCCTACGAGAAGTGCCGCAGCCTGGCCGACCCCAAGGTGTGCTGCGACTACGCCCTGCACATGGGCATCACCTGGTGGGCGCCCAAGGTGAGCCTGGCGCGGCTCCGGGAGCAGCTGCCGGGGCTAATTCCCGGCCCCGCTGATCCCATTAGCCGCCGGGGGGTGGGCCGAGCCCCCAGGATGCCTTTTGAGCTGCCCTGAGCCGGGCTCAGCGGGGCAGGGGCTCGGGGGTGCCCCGGGCCGAGGGGTCCCCGTGGGGCTGAGCCCCTCGCTGGGCAGGGGAGGCACTGCTGCTGCTCCGTGGGGTGCCCAGGGCTGGTGGTCCCAGCCTGGGGGGACCCCAGCCCACAGCAGGGCCCCCGTGGGAGTGGCAGGCAGGGCTGGTGAGCAGACCCCATCCCGCGGCACGCTCAGCCCCTGCAATCCCCTCAAAGCCGCTGCGGTGGGATCAGACCTGGCTCCCGGGGAGACCCCACCCTCACCCCCCTTCCAGCAGAGCAGGGCACCCTCCGGGGGCAGGAAAATCCCTTCTGCTGCCCCCCAGCATCTGCCACTCCCCGTGTCACCCCCAAATCCGCGCCCCGTGTCCCCCGGGGGTGGCCGGGGCGCCTGGCGGGGTCAGGCCTTACCCTGAGCCCTCTCCCGGTGCAGGTGAAGGCCGAGATGGAGACGCTGGTGCGGGAGAAGGGCGTGAACTCCTTCCAGATGTTCATGACCTACAAGGACCTGTACATGCTGCGGGACAGCGAGCTCTACCAGGCCCTGCGCGCCTGCCGCGACTTCGGCGCCATCGCCCGCGTGCACGCCGAGAACGGGGAGCTGGTGGCCGAGGTGAGGGCACGGGGGGCACCGGGCACCCCACCGGGCCGGCAGCTCCTCCAGCCTGACCCTGCCACATTCCCCAGGGAGCCAAGGAAGCTCTGGATCTGGGCATTACGGGCCCCGAGGGCATCGAGATCAGCCGGCCTGAAGAGGTAGGTGACGGCGGGTGGCACCCAGCAGCAGCCCGGGGTGTGGCTGGCACGGTGCAGGGCATCCGAGGAGGTGCCAGCGCCCGTCCTTGTGTCACCCGCCCGCCCGCTGGTGCCACCGCTGCGTGTCACGCGTGTCACACGGGCTCTCCCCGCAGCTGGAAGCTGAGGCCACGCACCGCGTCATCACCATCGCCAACCGGGTGAGTGTGCTGGGCAAGGCCCGGCTGGGGGTGCCTGCCCCGTGCCCTGGGGGTCCCCCCGGGGGCTGGGTGCCATGGGGACAGTGCCCCTGACCCCCTGTCCGCAGACCCACTGCCCCGTGTACCTGGTGAACGTGTCCAGCATGTCCGCGGGGGACGTCATCGCCGCCGCCAAGATGCAGGGTAGGGGACGGGGGGGGGACAGGGGGTGCCTCCCTCCCCGCCAGGGCCACCCCGGGCACGGGGAAACCCCTGGCACGGCCCACGCGGGGCTGGCAGGGAGCTGGGCACGGATCGTGGGGCTGCGGGCGTGCAGGGAGACACGCGGACAGACACACGGACAGGGACAGACACAGGGACAGACACACGGACAGACACAGGGACAGACACAGGGACAGGGACAGACACAGGGACAGGGACACAGACATGGGCACAGGCAGACACATGGGCATGGACAGACAGACAGCGACAGACAGACATGGGCACAGACAGACACACAGGTATGGACAGACACGGAGACAGATAAGGTCACAGACACACGGACAGACACACGGACAGCCCCAGCCCGGGAGCAGCTGGGGGCTCACCTGGCACAGGGCAGGGCAGGGGCCGTGCCAGGGATGGACCCTGACCCCCCCCCCGCGGGCCCTGCGCCCCCTGCCCAGGCAGCGCTGGTGGGGGGCACGACGATGATCATCGGGCACGTCCTGCCCGACAAGGAGACGTCGCTGCTGGACGCCTACGAGAAGTGCCGCAGCCTGGCCGACCCCAAGGTGTGCTGCGACTACGCCCTGCACATGGGCATCACCTGGTGGGCGCCCAAGGTGAGCCTGGCGCGGCTCCGGGAGCAGCTGCCGGGGCTAATTCCCGGCCCCGCTGATCCCATTAGCCGCCGGGGGGTGGGCCGAGCCCCCAGGATGCCTTTTGAGCTGCCCTGAGCCGGGCTCAGCGGGGCAGGGGCTCGGGGGTGCCCCGGGCCGAGGGGTCCCCGTGGGGCTGAGCCCCTCGCTGGGCAGGGGAGGCACTGCTGCTGCTCCGTGGGGTGCCCAGGGCTGGTGGTCCCAGCCTGGGGGGACCCCAGCCCACAGCAGGGCCCCCGTGGGAGTGGCAGGCAGGGCTGGTGAGCAGACCCCATCCCGCGGCACGCTCAGCCCCTGCAATCCCCTCAAAGCCGCTGCGGTGGGATCAGACCTGGCTCCCGGGGAGACCCCACCCTCACCCCCCTTCCAGCAGAGCAGGGCACCCTCCGGGGGCAGGAAAATCCCTTCTGCTGCCCCCCAGCATCTGCCACTCCCCGTGTCACCCCCAAATCCGCGCCCCGTGTCCCCCGGGGGTGGCCGGGGCGCCTGGCGGGGTCAGGCCTTACCCTGAGCCCTCTCCCGGTGCAGGTGAAGGCCGAGATGGAGACGCTGGTGCGGGAGAAGGGCGTGAACTCCTTCCAGATGTTCATGACCTACAAGGACCTGTACATGCTGCGGGACAGCGAGCTCTACCAGGCCCTGCGCGCCTGCCGCGACTTCGGCGCCATCGCCCGCGTGCACGCCGAGAACGGGGAGCTGGTGGCCGAGGTGAGGGCACGGGGGGCACCGGGCGCCCCGCCGGGCCGGCAGCACCTCCAGCCTGACCCTGCCACATTCCCCAGGGAGCCAAGGAAGCTCTGGATCTGGGCATTACGGGCCCCGAGGGCATCGAGATCAGCCGGCCTGAAGAGGTAGGTGACGGCGGGTGGCACCCAGCAGCAGCCCGGGGTGTGGCTGGCACGGTGCAGGGCATCCAGGGAGGTGCCAGCGCCCGTCCTTGTGTCACCCGCCCGCCCGCTGGTGCCACCGCTGCGTGTCACGCGTGTCACACGGGCTCTCCCCGCAGCTGGAAGCTGAGGCCACGCACCGCGTCATCACCATCGCCAACCGGGTGAGTGTGCTGGGCAAGGCCCGGCTGGGGGTGCCTGCCCCGTGCCCTGGGGGTCCCCCCGGGGGCTGGGTGCCATGGGGACAGTGCCCCTGACCCCCTGTCCGCAGACCCACTGCCCCGTGTACCTGGTGAACGTGTCCAGCATGTCCGCGGGGGACGTCATCGCCGCCGCCAAGATGCAGGGTAGGGGACACGGGGGCCTCCCTCCCCGCCAGGGCCACCCCGGGCACGGGGAAACCCCTGGCACGGCCCACGCGGGGCTGGCAGGGAGCTGGGCACGGATCGTGGGGCTGCGGGCGTGCAGGGAGACACGCGGACAGACACACGGACAGGGACAGACACAGGGACAGACACACGGACAGACACAGGGACAGACACAGGGACAGGGACAGACACAGGGACAGGGACACAGACATGGGCACAGGCAGACACATGGGCATGGACAGACAGACAGCGACAGACAGACATGGGCACAGACAGACACACAGGTATGGACAGACACGGAGACAGATAAGGTCACAGACACACGGACAGACACACGGACAGCTATGGGCATGGACAGACACGTGGGCACGAGCACGGACAGACATACAGACATGAGCACGGGCAGACACACGGACACGGGCAGACACACGGGCACAGACACACGGGCAGCTATGAGCATGGACAGACACATGGGCACGGGCATGGACAGACATACAGACATGGGCACAGACACACGGACACGGGCAGACACACGGACACAGGAACTCAGGTGTACCTGTGGGGCCGTGCCCTGGCACAGGTGAGCACACCTGGGCCCTCAGCTCTGCTCGTACACAGGGGGGACACACAGGGGGGACACAGGGGACGACACATGGGACATGCACAGGTCACACACCTGAGTACATTCCAGACACACACATGAGCACACAGGGGGCACAGAGGGCACACACAGAGGTCACACACAGAGGTCACACACAGGTCACACACGTGAGCACACAGGGGACACAGGGCTCCTGCCCGCCGGGCACGCGGGTGCTCGGGCACGGGCAGCCCACCCACGTGTGCCCACCGCCGCGTGCCCCCGCAGGGAAGGTGGTGTACGCAGAGACCACCACGGCGCACGCCACGCTCACCGGGCTGCACTACTACCACCAGGACTGGTTCCACGCCGCCGCCTACGTCACCGTGCCGCCGCTGCGCCTGGACACCAACACCTCTGCCTACCTCATGAGCCTGCTCGCCAAGTGAGGGCTGCCCCGGGCACCTTGCCCTGCCCCGGGCACTGCTGTCTGCCCCGGGCACCTTGCCCTGCCCCGGGCACCCCATTCCTGCCCCGGGGACCCCTCCCTGCCCTGGGCACTGCTCCCTGCCCCGGGCACCCCTGCCTGCTCTGGGCACCCCCTCCCTGTCCCGGGTTCACCCCATCCCTGCCCAGGACACCTCTCACTGCCCTGAGCACCTCTCACTGTCCTGGGCATCCCATCCCTGCCCTGAGCACCCCATCCGTGCCCCGGGGACCCCATCCCTGCCCCAGGGCATTTCTCCCTGCCCAGGGCACCCATCCCTGCCCCAGGCACTGCTCCCTGCCCCAGGCACCGCTTCCTACCCCGGGCACCCCCTGCCTGCCCCAGGCACCACTCCCTGCTCCAGGGACCCCATTCCTGCCCCGGGCACCCCATTCTTGCCCTGGGCACCCCTCCCTGCCCCGGGCACCCCTCCCTGCCCCATTCCCTGGGTGCCCCATCCCCATGGCACTGGGCTCCCCAGGCACCCCATGGCAGGGGCGCCCCATTCCCTGAGTCCTGGGCTCGCTGGGCACCCCGAGCAGCCCTGGCAGTGCCATCCCCTCCCTGCTCCGTGCCCCACAGCGACACGTTGAACATCGTGGCCTCGGACCACCGGCCCTTCAGCACCAAGCAGAAGGCCATGGGCAAGGAGGACTTCACCAAGATCCCCCACGGCGTCAGCGGGGTGCAGGACCGCATGAACATCATCTGGGAGCGCGGCGTGGTACGGCACTGCCGCCCGGGCACGGGCTGCCGCTGGGGCAGGGCACCCCGCGGGGTGTTTGCTCACCCCCACAGGAGGGCACGAGCTCCCCAGAGCGGGCCTGCCAGGGATCCTGACCCCGCAGCTCATCTGGGAATTTTGGGGGGCTGGGGGGTGACGGGGAGCGCCGCATCCCACCCATCCTGACCCCCCCGGGCTGCAGGTGGGGGGCAAGATGGATGAGAACCGCTTCGTGGCCGTGACCAGCTCCAACGCCGCCAAGATCCACAACCTGTACCCCCGCAAGGGCCGGATCATCCCCGGCGCCGACGCCGACGTCGTGGTCTGGGACCCCGAGGCCACCAAGTAGGTGCAGCCGCGCCGGGGTGGGGGGCGGCTCCCAGTGCCCCCACAGCGCTGACGGCGCCGTGCCCTGCCAGGACCGTGTCTGCCAGCACGCAGGTGCAGGGCGGGGACATCAACCTGTACGAGAACATGCGGTGCCACGGCGTGCCCCTGGTGACCATCAGCCGCGGGCGCGTGGTCTACGAGAACGGCGTCTTCATGTGCGCCGAGGGCACCGGCAAGTTCTGCCCGCTGCGCTCCTTCCCCGACGTCGCCTACAAGAAACTGGTGCAGCGGGAGAAGGTACGGGGCAGCCACGGCCGGGCCGGGGCCGTGCCAGGGCTGTGCCCGTGCCAGAGCTGTGCCATGCCTGTGCCATGGCCATGCCAGAGCAGTGCCCTCACTGTGCCAGACCGGTGCTGTGGTGGCACCATGGTTATGCCAAACTGATGCCATGGCTCTGCTTGGCCGTGCCAGAGTGGTGCCATGGCTGTGCCATTGCTGTGCCTATACCAGAACTGTGCCATGGCTATGCCGTGGGTGTGCCAGAGCCATGCCATGGCTGTGCCCATGCCAGAGCAGTGCCATGGCCATGCTGTGGCTGTGCCACGGCTATGCCAGACTGGTGCCGTGGCCATGCCATGGCCATGTCATGGCCAGGCTCTAGCCATGCCATGGCCTGTGTTCAAGCAGTGCCATGGCTGTGCCAGAGCGGTGCCATGGCTGTGCATGGCACTGCCAGAGCAGTGCCATCACCGTGCTGGAGCAATGCCACGCTGTGGCACAGGGCTGCACCGTGCTGGCTGCTGGAGGGGACCAGGGGGCAGTGGCAGTGCCAGAGGCGGGTCTGTGCCAGGCCGGTGCCACGCTGTGCCAGGAGCACAGGGCAGGGTCCCTGCAGGTCAGTGTGGCACAGGACGCTGCCCTGGCTCCGTGCCAGTGCCCTGGCAGTGCCAGAGCACAGCTGTCCCAGCCCGTGTGTGCCCGTTCCAAGGCACCTGCTGGCATCAGGGCTCGCCATGCCGTGCCCAGGCTCTGCCCCGTGCTGGCTCTCCCGAGGTGGCACCGGGACAGGGACACGCGTGCCCGGCGGTGACACCCAGCAGCTCTGGCAGCCCCTGGGCACCCGCTGTGCCCACGCTGCAGGGGACAGCGCTGCAGATGCTGCCAGGGAGGGGAGCAGCTCACAGGGGGATCTTGGGGAGCTCTGGGTGGCTGGGGGGGCGCAGGGCATCGCATGGGCTTGGCTTGGCTTGGCATGGCTTGGTTTGGTTTGGTTTGGCATGGCTTGGCTTGGCTTGGCTTGGCTTGGCATGGCATGGCTTGGCGTGGCTTGGCTCCACCGGGGGACGGGGCCAGGGGCTGCTCTGCCAGGGCCACCCACCTCCCCCAGCCCCTGCTCTGCACCGGGAGCCCCCCGGCCCGCCCAGCACCGCTCCGAGCGCCCCCGTTGGTCAGTACTGGTCAGTGTTGGTCAGTGCTGGTCAGTGCTGGTCAGTGCTGGTCAGTACTGGTCACTCCTGGTCAGTGCTGGTCAGTACTGGTCACTCCTGGTCAGTGCTGGTCAGTACTGGTCACTCCTGGTCAGTGCTGGTCAGTACTGGTCACTCCTGGTCAGTGCTGGTCAGTACTGGTCACTCCTGGTCAGTGCTGGTCAGTACTGGTCACTCCTGGTCAGTGCTGGTCAGTACTGGTCACTCCTGGTCAGTGCTGGTCAGTACTGGTCACTCCTGGTCAGTGCTGGTCAGTACTGGTCACTCCTGGTCAGTGCTGGTCAGTACTGGTCACTCCTGGTCAGTGCTGGTCAGTACTGGTCACTCCTGGTCAGTGCTGGTCAGTACTGGTCACTCCTGGTCAGTGCTGGTCAGTACTGGTCACTCCTGGTCAGTGCTGGTCAGTACTGGTCACTCCTGGTCAGTGCTGGTCAGTACTGGTCACTCCTGGTCAGTGCTGGTCAGTACTGGTCACTCCTGGTCAGTGCTGGTCAGTACTGGTCACTCCTGGTCAGTGCTGGTCAGTACTGGTCACTCCTGGTCAGTGCTGGTCAGTACTGGTCACTCCTGGTCAGTGCTGGTCAGTACTGGTCACTCCTGGTCAGTGCTGGTCAGTACTGGTCACTCCTGGTCAGTGCTGGTCAGTACTGGTCACTCCTGGTCAGTGCTGGTCAGTACTGGTCACTCCTGGTCAGTGCTGGTCAGTACTGGTCACTCCTGGTCAGTGCTGGTCAGTACTGGTCACTCCTGGTCAGTGCTGGTCATTATTGGTCAGTGCTGGTCAGTGCTGGTCAGTGCTGGTCAGTGCTGGTCAGTGCCGGTCAGTTCTGGTCAGTGCTGGTCAGTATTGGTCACTCCTGGTCAGTACTGGTCATTATTGGTCAGTGCTGGTCAGCGCTGGTCAGTACTGGTCACTCCTGGTCAGTGCAGATCAGTGCTGGTCACTCCTGATCAGTTCTGGTAAGTACTGGTCAGTGCTGGTCAGTGCTGGTCAGGGCTGGTCAGTGCTGGTCAGCGCTGGTCAGTACTGGTCACTCCTGGTCAGTGCAGATCAGTGCTGGTCACTCCTGATCAGTTCTGGTAAGTACTGGTCAGTGCTGGTCAGTGCTGGTCAGGGCTGGTCAGTGCTGGTCACTCCTGATCAGTGCTGGTCAGTACTGGTCAGTGTTGGTCAGTGTTGGTCACTCCTGGTCAGGGCTGGTCAGTGTTGGTCACTCCTGGTCAGTGCCACGTGCAGCACAGCCGGGGTGGCAGAGGGGGTCACTGTGCCCCCCCAGTCAGTCCCAGCGGTGCCCGGGGGTCTCGGAGCCCCCCGGTGCCGCGGTGCCCGGGGTGGCACCTCCCCCTGCCCACCCCGAGCTCCCCCAGCCCCGCAGCGAGCGGTGTCGCACCCCTGGGTCACACCTGAGTGACACCTGTGTCACACCCCTGGGTCACACCTGAGTGACACCTGGGTCACACACCAGTGTCACACACCCTCTGTGTCACACCTGTGCCACGCCTGCACGGGCCCAGGGCGTGTTTGCACACGCCTGTGCTCAGGTGAACCCCTGGGCAGGTGTCCCCGTCCCACCTCTGTGACCCCTGTGCCACGCCCTCCCCTGCCCGTGTCCCCTCCCGCTGTCCCCTCCCTCCAGGTGGGTCCCGGGTGCCAGCCGTGTCCCCTCGCGCTGTCCCCTCCCCAGCCGTGCCCCGGGCGCGGTGTCCCCGGTGTCCCCGTGTCCCCCGTGCCCTCCCCGTAGGTCCCGTAGGTGTTGGGGGCGGTGGCGCCCGGCGGGTCGCGTGTCCCCGGTGTCGCACGGCCGATGTAGGAACCGCCCGTTGTGTGCTCATTAAAGACCCTTCACAGCCCCGCCTGCCTCGGCCACACCGCGGGGACAGGGACAGGGACGCGGGGGACAGGGGACAGCGGGGGACACGGGGGACAGGGGACAGCAGGGGACAGGGACACGGGGGACAGCACGGGGACAGGGGACAGCGGGGGACACGGGGGACAGCGACAGGGGGGACAGCACAGAGACATGGGGACACAGAGGGGACCGGGGGGAGACGGGGGACACTGAGGGGATATGGGGACATGGGGACACGGGGACATGGGGGACAACAGGGACGGGGGGAACAGGGACAGCAGGGGGACACGGGGGACAGGGGACAGCAGGGGACAGGGACACGGGGGACAGCACGGGGACAGGGGACAGCAACACGGACAGGGGACAGCACGGGGACAGGGGACAGCAGGGGACACGGGGGACAGGGGACAGCAGCGGGGACACGGACAGGGGACAGGGGACAGCAGGGGACAGGGACACGGGGGACAGCCTCGGGGACAAGGACAGGTGACAGCCTCGGGACCCCCCCTCTGCACTGGGGGCACAAAAAGAGATGGGACGTGGGGGGAGACAGAGGGACACTGAGGGGACACGGGGGGGCACAGGGACATGGGGTGGGTATGGGGACATGGAGACACGGGGACATGGGGGGGACACAGAGGGGATCGGGGGGAGACGGGGGACACTGAGGGGACACGGGGACATGGGGAACCGCCCGTTGTGTGCTCATTAAAGACCCTTCACAGCCCCGCCTGCCTCGGCCACACCGCGGGGACAGGGACAGGGACGCGGGGGACAGGGGACAGCGGGGGACACGGGGGACAGGGGACAGCAGGGGACAGGGACACGGGGGACAGCACGGGGACAGGGGACAGCGGGGGACACGGGGGACAGCGACAGGGGGGACAGCACAGAGACATGGGGACACAGAGGGGACCGGGGGGAGACGGGGGACACTGAGGGGATATGGGGACATGGGGACACGGGGACATGGGGGAGACAGAGGGACACCGAGGGGACACAAGGGGACACAGGGACATGGGGGGACAGAGGGACACAGAAGGGATAGTGGGGACATGGGGGGACACGAGCAGACACGCGTGGGGACAGGCATGGAGATGGAACCACGGGGACACGGGACATGCATGAAGCTCTGGGGACACGGGGACAGGTGTGGGGGGGTCACAGAGCTGGCCCTGTCACCGCGAGGACACCCCAGCTCAGGTGCACAAACACGGGGGGCTCGGGGGGCTCTGGGTGGGCCAGGGGGGGTCCCCAGGGTCACTTGGGGCTCGGGGGGCTCTGGGAGGCTCGGGGGGTCCCAGAGGGGTCTTGGGGGACACCAAGAGGGGGGACCCCGGGAAGAGTCTTGAAAGGTCACAGAACGGCCCCAAGGGTCCCCGAGGGCTCTGGGGGGGTTTAGGGGGGGTCCCCGAATGATTAGAGGGGTCTGGGGGTGTTTCGGGGTCTGGGGGCGTTTCGGGGTCCCCGAGGGTTCGGGGGTGCAGAGGCCGCCGCCCGCCGCCAGGGGGCGCCCGTCGGGCCCGTTGCCATGGCGACGGGGGCGGCCATGTCTGTTGTCATGACCGGAGGGGGCGTGGCCATCGCGTTGCCATGGCAGCAAAGAGGGGCGTGGCCAGCCCTTGCGATGCGCGGGGGGGCGTGGCCAACCCATTTCCCGGAGCCGAGGGGGCGTGGCGCGCCCGCTGCCATGGCAGCGGGGGCGGGGCGGGGCGGCTGGCTCCGCCCGGCCGCTCCTGCGTCCGGGCCGCGGCTCCATCCGCGTCCCGGCACGGTACCGGCACGGCACGGCACGGCACGGCGGGAGCTGCAGCTCCGCTCCGGCCCCGCGCAGCACCGGGCACCGCTGCCGGTACCGGGCACCGTCGGGCCCGGGCATCACCCGGAGACCCGCGGGAGCCGGGGGGCCGCCGCTCGGGCCCTGCCGGTGCCGCCCGGCGGGCGGTGCGGAGCGGCAGGTGGCTGTCACCGTGACACACCGAGCGTGACGCGCTCCCGGGGCTCCGGCTCATGGCGGCACGGCGGCGGCGGCGTCACCGGTACCGCGGTGTCCCGGTACGGCGGTGTCCCTGCTACAGCAGTGTCCCGGTACAGCCGTGTCCCGGTACGGCGGTGTCCCCGGTGAGGTGGCGGTGTCGGGACGGGGCCGGGCCCCTCTCTGCGCTCCCCGCCGTTCCCGGGATACCCAGCCCCATCTCCCAGCACCGGGGATCTGTCCGCGGCTCCTCCCGCCGCGGCCGGGCACGCCGCCCGGTCCCTGACGGGGCTCCCGGGATGTCGCGGGCGCGTGCCGTGCCTCTGGGGGTGCTTCGGGGGTTGTTTAGGGGGGTCTGGGGCTGTTTAGGGGTCTGGGGACACTCTGGGGACAGCCCTGCCCGGCGGCGTGTCCCGGGTGCGCTGTCCCGGCCGGGGCTGCGAGCGTGTCCCGGCCCGGCTCGGTTCGGCCCAGCCCGGCTTGGCTCGGCTCGGCCCGGCCCGGCTCGGCTCGGCTCGGCTCGGCCCGGCTCGGCTCATCCGCGGCATTAATATTTCAGGCGCGGGGGGGGGCTCGCTCTGCACATGCTCCGCCGCCGTACCGAGGTATTTAGGTTAGCGGCAGCGGGATCGCTCGGTGCGGCCCCGCTGCTGCCGGTGCCGAGCGGCCGCGCTGCCTCGCCGCCAGCCGGGGAAGGGCCGCAGCCGGTACGGAGCTGGGCACGGAGCCCCGCAAACCCCCGGGGCACGGCGGGGATGCTCCGCTCGGGGCGGGGGGAAGGCACCGGGGAGGGGACGTGGGCGAGCGGCCCCCGGTGCTGGCGCCGGTGCCACCGTGCGGATCCGCGGCAGCCCCGCCGGGCTGTCTGCCACCCCCCCGGCGTGTTTGTCACTTGAGAAGCCACCGGGACGGCTCCCAAAATAGAAGCCGCCAGTCGCGCAGCCCAGTCCGCACCGGCACCGCCGCGCCGCTCGGCTCCCGGTGCCCGCCGGTGCCGCGCTCTCGGCCTCACTCTGCTCCCGTTTGTTTGGGCAGAGCGGCCGCGGGCTGCGCCGTGGGACCGGGCCCGGACGGACCTCTGCGTGCGCCCCGGCACGGGACGGGCACGGACGCACGCCCGGGGCTTCGGTCGCCGTCGGGCCGTGATTAGCGGCTGCCGCCCGGACAATTAAAATGCAGCGGTAAGCGTCCCCCGCCCGGCCGCAGCCCCTCTCCTCTCGGCCTGCCGGGATCTGGGCTCGGTTCTTATTTGCAGTCAGGTTTTTTGGCGAGAACCGGGGGCAAACCGGCCCCGGGCGCGTCCATGGCCCGGCGCCGGGGCGGCCGCGGGTCGCAGGGTGCCGCGGGCCCCGGCTGCCCTGTCATTACACCCGGGCGTGCTCGGCGCTGCGCCGGGGGCTCGGGAGGCGTTCGGGAGGGTGGGGACGGGCGGGTGGCACCGCCAGCCCCGGGCGGCGTCCCCGCTCCGCCGCCGGGACGCGCCGGTGCCTCCCGGTGGGGCAGGGCGCTCCCGGCGGGATCACGGTGTGGGTGATCCCTCCGCGTGTGGGGCGCTCGGTGTGGGTCGGGGCTCCCGGTGTGGGTCAGAGCTCCCGGTGTGGGTCAGAGCGCTCGGTGTGGGTCGGGGCTCCCGGTGTGGGTCAGAGCTCCCGGTGTGGGTCAGAGCGCTCGGTGTGGGTCGGGGCTCTCGGTGTGGGTCAGAGCGCTCGGTGTGGGTCGGGGCTCTCGGTGTGGGTCAGAGCTCTCGGTGTGGGTCACGGCTCTCGGTGTGGGTCAGAGCTCTCGGTGTGGGTCGGGACTCTCGGTGTGGGTCACGGCTCTCGGTGTGGGTCGGGGCTCGCCCCCGCGCTCTCACGTGTGCCGGCGTGTGCGGGACTCGAGGTGCGGCTGGCGCGGTGACACCCCGGCTCATCCCGGTGTAACCGGGGGGTCCCAGCCGCGTTCCCCGGGAGCGCCCCGCCGGCAGGATGCCGCAGAGCCCCGGCGGCCGTGCGGGTCCCGCGGGCATCCCCCGCATCCCCGTTATCTGGGGAAGGGCCGGCGATGGCAGGGGGGTGAGCGGCTCCTCGCCGTGCCCCGTGCCCGTTCCCGCCGCAGCCCCGCGCCCCGCCGGCGGTACCGGCGGCACCGCAGTGCGCGTGGCTCTGGCTCAGCGCCGCGCATGACTCAGCTCCTGCCGGAGCCAGGGGAGGGGGGGACAGCCCTGGGGGACCCCTGCCCGCGCCCCACTGCCGCGGAGCCGCGGGACGGGCCGTGGCCGTCGCCGGTACCGGGAGCGGGCCGGTGCGCAGCTCGCCGTGCGGGGGCGGCGGCGGCGCGGGGGCCCCGGTTTCAGCTGCTGCTGCGGTGGTGGCTAAAAATACCGACCCCCCCCGCGGCTGCGTGCGGGAACACGGCGGATCGGGGGTCCCGGGTGGGCTCAGTGCCGGGGGTTCAATCGCCACGGCCGTGCGACGTCGCCGGTGCTGAGTCACCGTGGTGCTGTACCCGAACGGGGGGCACTGCGGCCACCGGGACCTTCTGCCCCGCAAAAACCGGCCCCGGGGGGTGGCAGCGCCGCACAGCCCCCGGTGTGGGGGCGCAGATGTGCGCTGTGCTGTGCCCCCCTCATCCCCCGGGCTGTGGCAGGGGAGGGGGGCTTGGGGGCTGCCCCTCCGCCCTGCCCCCGCCTGGCAGCTGGCCCGGGCCCGCGGCCCCCCTGGCCGGGGAGGGAAGCGGATTAACGGCGCCGCTGCCGCCGCTGCCGTGCGGGGGGCCGCGGGAGCGCCGGGACCCCCGCTCCCGGGGAGGGCAGCGGGGCCGGCCCTCGGTGGCTGCCCCGAAGCGTTTTGTGCAGCACGGTGAGAGCGGGGCTCAGCGCCCCCCCCTCTCTGCTGGGGCTCTGTGCCCTGGCGGGCTGGGCTGCAGCCGGGGGGTCCTGCAGCCCCCAGCCATCTGGGCGTAGGCTGCCTGCCGGCAGATGTTGCCCCTCTAAGCCCTGCTCTAATGGACCCCGATCCCGATCCCGGCCCCGGCAGATTAGGCAGCACCGGGGGCCGGAGAGGGGGGCCCTAAGCTGCTTATGGGCACCAGCCCCCGGAGCCCCTGGGCTCACCAGGGCAGCAGGGGCAGTGCCCTCGGCAGTGCTGGCATCCCCTGGGCAGTGCCTGTGGCCTGGGACCCCTTCCCCCTGCTCTGTATCCACCCAGCACCCCACACCCAGCTCCCCTGGGTACCTGCTCAGGGCAGGGCCCCACCTGGCCAGGGGGGTCACACCGGGGCGCCTGGGGGCCCTCGTGCTGCCCTGCCATACCCTGGGGTGCAGCTGGAGTGGGGGGGCCCACAGGGAGCACGCTGGCAGCCTGGCCCTGCTGTCCCTGGTGCTGGAGCACTGTTGGGATGGATGCCCCGGGTCCCAGTACCACTGGTGATGGAGTCTGAATGGGATGGGCACCCCGGATCCCAATGGCCCTGATGTTGGAGATGGGATGGGATGGATGCCCCAGATCCCAGTGCCCCTGTTGGCTGAGCACTGTTGGGATGGATGCCCCGGGTCCCAGTGCCACTGGTGGTGGAGTCTGAATGGGATGGGCACCCCGGATCCCAGTGGCCCTGGTGTTGGAGTCTGGGTGGGATGGATGCCCCAGATCCCTGTGCCTCTGGTGTTTGAGCACAGTTGGGATGGATGCCTTGGGTGCCAGTGCCCCCAGTGTTGGAGTCTGAATGTGATGGACACCTCAGATCCCTGTGCCTCTGGTGTTGGAGCACAGTTGGGATGGATGACCTGGATCCAAGTGTCCCTGGTGGTGGAGTCTGAATGGGATGGACACCCCGGGTCCCAGTGCCCCTGATGTTGGAGATGGGATGGGATGGATGCCCCAGATCCCAGTGCCCCTGTTGGCTGAGCACAGTTGGGATGGGCACCCCAGATCCCAGTGCCCCCAGTGTTGGAGATGGGGTGGGATGGATGACCCAGGTCCCACTGCCCTGGTGTTGGAGCACAGTTGGGATGGATGCCCTGGGTCCCAGTGTCCCTGGTGTTGGTGTCTGAATGGCATGGACATCTCAGATCCCAATGCCCCTGGCGTTGGTGTCTGGGTGGGATGGGCACCCTGGGTCCCAGTGCCCCTGGTGTTGGAGCACAGTTGGGATGGATGTCTTGGGTGCCAGTGCTACTGGTGTTAGTGTCTGGGTGGGATGGACACCCCAGATCCCAGTGCCCTGGTGCTGGAGATGGGGTGAGATGGGCATCCCAGGTCCAATGCCCCTGGTGCTGGAGCACAGTTGGGATGGGCACAATGGGTCCCAGTGCCCCTGGTGTTGGATTCTGAATGGGATGGACACCCCGGGAGGACCCCCCGGGTCCCAGTGCCCTGGTGGTGGAGATGGGGTGGGATGGATGCCCCGGGTCCCAGTGCCCCTGGTGTTGGATTCTGAATGGGATGGACACCCCGGGTCCCAATGGACCTGGTGTTGGAGCACAACTGGGATGGGCACCCTGGGTCCCAGTGCCCCTAGTGTTAGTGTCTGGGTGGGATGGATGCCCTGGATTCCAGTGCCCCTGGTGGTGGAGTCTGAATGGGATGGATGCCTTGGGTCCTGGTGCCCTTGGTGCTGGAGCACAGTTGGGATGGATGCCCCGGGTCCCAGTGCCCCTGGTATTGGAGTCTGAATGGCATGGACACCCCAGATCCCTGTGCCCCTGGTGCTGGAGATGGGGTGGGATGGGCACCCCAGATCCCAATGCCCCTGGTGTTGGTGTCTGGGTGGGATGGACACCCCTGGTCCCAGTGTCCCTGGTGTTGGAGCACAGTTGGGATGGGCACCCCGGGTCCCAGTGCCCTGGTGCTGGAGTCTGGGTGGGATGGATGCCCCAGATCCCAGTGCCCTGGTGCTGGAGCACAGTTGGGATGGATGCCCCAGATCTAACTGCCCCTGGTACTGGAGCACAGTTGGGATGGGCACAATGGGTCCCAGTGCCCCTGGTGTTAGTGTCTGGGTGGGATGGATGCCCTGGATTCCAGTGCCCCTGGTGGTGGAGTCTGGGTGGGATGGACACCCCTGGTCCCAGTGTCCCTGGTGCTGGAGCACAGTTGGGATGGGCACCCCGGGTCCCAGTGCCCGGGTGCGGGGCTGGGGTGCCGGGGTGCCAGTGTGGCCCTGTCTCCTGGCAGCTGGGGCATGGCCGTCAATGTGTACTCCACGTCGGTGACCAGTGAGAACCTGAGCCGCCATGACATGCTGGCCTGGGTCAACGACTCCCTGCAGCTCAACTACACCAAGATCGAGCAGCTCTGCTCAGGTGGGCTTTGGGGCGGTGTGGGGGGCACGGGGGCGTTCTCAGGGTGCCCCCAGCCCCCCGTGACCGTGGCCTGGGCCGGCGCAGGGGCCGCCTATTGCCAGTTCATGGACATGCTGTTCCCCGGCTGCGTGCACCTGCGGAAGGTGAAGTTCCAGGCCAAGCTGGAGCACGAGTACATCCACAACTTCAAGGTGCTGCAGGCCGCCTTCAAGAAGATGGGAGTGGACAAAGTAGGTCGCTGGGGACAGCGGGGGCTGTGCGGGGTCACCCCGCCGGGTCCGTGCTGCCCCGTGCCCGTGTCCCTGCTGGTGCAGGCTAGGCTGGGAGCACGGCCCCAGCAGCCCCTCGGTGTGCCCCCAGATCATCGCGGTGGAGCGGCTGGTGAAGGGCAAGTTCCAGGACAATTTCGAGTTCATCCAGTGGTTCAAGAAGTTCTTTGACGCCAACTACGACGGGAAGGAGTACAACCCGCTGCTGGCGCGGCAGGGCCAGGACGTCGCGCCCCCCCCTAACCCAGGTGATCACATCTACAACAAACCCAAGAAACCCATTGGCACTGCAGGTAATGCCCGGGGCCCCCCAGCGAGCGCTGCCCCCCGCCCTCTGCACCCCTGCTCACGGCTGGGCGTCCCCCTGCCCCTGCCTGCGCCCCTCTGCTGCCTGCCCTGCCCTGCCCTGCCTGCCACGGGGGTCTGGGCGGGTCTGCAGGGACACCCAGGCTGCGGGGCACGGGGGTCCTGCCTGCCTGCACCCGCCTGCTCGGCCCTGGTTTGTCACCCCAGCCCCGCCGGCTGCCATCCCCCCGTGCTGTGCAGCTCCCGTGGGCACTGGGGGCTCCCTGTGCTGGCCCACCGGGAGCTGTCGGGGTCTGGGGCCTCCTCAGATCCCATGCTGAACCCCAGACAAGCCACGAGCACCCTTGGAGGGCTGGGGGCAGGATTTGCCAGGGGAAACTGAGGCAGGGGGGAGGCTGAAGTTGGGAGAATTGTGGCTCTGCACAGGGGACGCCTGCCCTTGCTGCTGCCCCCCACTCAGTGCACGGGGGGTCCCTGCTGGCAGCCCCCCCAGCCGGCATTAACCCACTGGTCCCCGTGTGCTGTCAAGTCCCCCAGAGGACCTCCCCGACGGGCCCCAAGAACACGCCGAACCCAGCCCGCCTAGGCAACGTGCCCAGCGGCATCCTGCGGAAAAACTCGCCCGCCGCCCGCAACGGCGGCACCGAGGCTGACGCCCAGATCCTGGAGCTCAACCAGCAGGTGGGCAGGGGTCCCGCCGGGGGCGGGGGGCACCACGGCCTTGGGGGCTGAAGGTTCGGGCTGCGCCCCACAGCTGATGGACCTGAAGCTGACGGTGGACGGGCTGGAGAAGGAGCGGGATTTCTACTTCAGCAAGCTGCGGGACATCGAGCTCATCTGCCAGGAGCACGAGAACGAGAACAGCCCCATCATCACCGGCATCGTCAGCGTCCTCTATGCCACGGAGGTGAGGGCTGGGCACCCGGGAGCCTGTGGACGTCCCTGGGCGGGGAGGGACCCCTTTCCCCCCAGGTGCATTGGCCTTGTTCACTCCATGGGGTGCCAGGAGGGGGCTGAGCATTGCCAAAGCCCTCACGCCACGCCAGGCAGAGATTGGGGTGCCCACCCGTGCCACCCCTGTGCCCATGGCTGCCATGCTTCTCCCGCAGGAGGGCTTTGCCCCACCAGAGGATGACGAGCTGGAGGAGCAGCCGCCAGAGGAGCAGGACGAGTACTAGCCCCGGCCCGCGCCCGCCCCGCGCCGCCCCCAGCTCCGAGGTTGGAGGGCCGAGCCCGCGCCTCGCCCCGCACCGTCACACGCCACGCGGGCCCGCAGCCCCGGGGGGAGCCTCCATCTCCATGAGCAGCCAGCAGCCCGGGCGAGCAGCGCGGCTGCGCCGGGGCTGGGGCTGGGGACGGGCTCCGGCCCCGCGCCGGGGCCTGGCCCGCGCCGCCCCCTCCCCATATTTATTTCTGTTGTCCCCCTGGCGTCAGCGAGTGCCGCGTCCGCCCTGGTGTCCTGCGTGCCCGCGGTGAGAGGGAGAAGGGCTGGCCCGGGTGTGCTGCTCGGCTCGCTGGGAGCCGCCAGCCCCGGGACCCCCGTGGCAGAGCCGGCCTGGCAGCCTGGGGGAGCGGGAGGCCACGGAGCAGGGGAGAGAGGTGTCGGTTCAGCTCCCTGGGAAGGCGAAAAGGAAAGGCAGCCCAGTGCGGGCATGGCAGCGGGGGGCTCCTGCAGACACGGGGGTCCCGGAGAGGGGCTGTCCTGAGCACGGCATGGAACGGCAGTGGGCCCTCTCCTCTCGCCCGTGGCCCCCGAGCCGGGGCTGGGCTCGCAGCGCCACCCGCCCCGGCTGCCACGTCCCCGTCGCATCGCTTGTCTGGTCCATCACTCCGGTCGCAACGCTGCATCTGTGTTCGGTTTTATTTAAATAAACTCGTGTGGTAACACTGCGTGCTGGGGGTCACTGCAGGCGCTCGGGCTCGCCCCCTGCCCTGGGGTTCCCCTGAGCTGACAGACCCTCGGCAGGGCCGTGCAGGGTGAGTGGAGCCGGGTGGGGGCTCTGGAGCACAGCGTGTGAGGAGAAATTGGGCGAGCAGTTTTTATAGGGGTTAATATGGGCTGTAAGAGCCCGGAGCGACCGCGGCGCCGGCTCCTGCCTCGGCCCGGGCGGGATTCCGAGGGATGCGGGATTTGCTGGGGCAGGAACAGATCCTGGATGGAACAGGGGCGCTGCGGAGCAAGACGCAAAAGGGCTGGGAAAACATTCCTACGGGGGTGAGGAAAAGCGAGGAAATTTATTCTGTTTTTGGCACCCATAGACCAGGGGAGAGCGCGAACGCAGTCCCCCACTACCACAAATTATGCAGTCGAGTTTCCCGCATTTGGGGAAATCGCAGGGGTCAGCACACCCGGAGTGCAAGGGATGAGCCTCGCCCTGGGAAAACCACCTGCCTGATCATGGTGTCTCCCCTGCCAGGTAAGTATGCCTGCCCCGCCGCGCCGCCCCCGGGCCCCGCCCGCCGCACGCCTCGCCACCGCACGGCCAGCGCCGCCCCGGCCCCGCTCCCGCCCGGCCCCGCGCTGCGGCCCGGCCCGCACGGGTGT